ACCCTACTCCCCTCTGTTGGGCTCCAGCTGGAGCTTAGGATTTGGGCAGAACAGATGGACTGTCCCTGAAGAGCACCCCCCGCGCCCCGCAATTCTCCTTGTCATCTACGCAGGCAGCACTGGCAGGCACGGCTGTGTAAGTCACAGGGATGGCTCTTGGTCTGAGCTATGCCAGCTGTATCCCCAGGGCATCTTCCAGCTTCTCCTCCTCCTTCCCTGCCTTTGCCCTCCTCCCCGCTCCCAGGGTCAAGAGCCTACCAGGCTTGTGCTTAGCCGCTGGATCCCAGCAGGCACACGGAGCCCCTGAGATGGAAAAGCGGGGCCTGGAGAGGGGAAATCCGACTCCAGCTTCTCCCAGGCCATCAAGAGAGGAGCCTGCAGAAGAGGCCTCTGGGAAAAGATGCAGTTCTGCAACTTGCCAGATGATGAGAATCACCTGGTTACAAATGTGGTTTTGCAGGCGCCTTCCTCAAGGAGTCCAGTGCAAGGGAGCTGGGGCAGGGAGGGGGTTGAGGTTGTCCCAGACTCCAGGGATTTGTGTCTTCAGGCAAGTTTGGGAACCCCTGAGAGTGGTTCAAAGAGCCAGGCCTCTCTTGGAACCATCTGGATTCCCGCCTAGGATTCCCCAGGCCACACTGCCAGAGTGGCATTAGGTAGGCAACTTCCTCAACTTCTTTGAGTTTCAGTTTCCTCCTTGGGAAGTGACAGAATAAGATTTGCAGGTTCAGCACTTAGCCTTGGGCCTGGCACAAAGGCAGCAAGAACAGATGTTAGGCACTAATCCCCACTGTTATCCTCAGCAGCTGTGGGTGGGAGCAGGGTGGAGAGCACGTGGTGGCTCCGGGGGACCAGCCTGCCTGGCCTGCTCACTGCCTACGCCCCTCTGCAGTAAGCTCTCCTGAGAAGCGTCAGAGTGGTGCAGGGCAGCCAAATGCCTCCTGCCCCCGCTCCCGCATCCCAGCTGCCCTGCCTCCCCCACTGCGAGAGCTTGGGTGGGCCACTTCTGTGTGCCTCAGTCTCCTCTCCTGCCCCAAGTGAGGAATAATCATGCTTACCTTGTATGCGTCATAAGTCTGGCACATAGAAATCTTTGCAGAGTTGTTAGCTAATTTTACTACCACACCTACCCTTCAATCAATCGACAGACATTTCTGTGCCTACTCTTTGAACTGGGGATGAGATGTTTCCTTGCTCTTGGGCTCTGGAGTCAGACTGCCTGGGTTTGAAACCAAGCTCTGGCTGTGTGACCTTGGGCAAGTTACTCCTCCTCTCTGGGCCTAAGATGGATTCCTCAGCAGAATTCAGAAATGTAAAAGAGGGTTAGATGGGTTTATTTTAAAGAGTTAGGACTGCGCTTGTACCACAGTAAGCTCCACAAATGATAAATACGTGAAATCTAAGCCACAGGTCCCTTTTTCCAGGAGCCCCATCTAGTAGCGAGGCCAGAAAGACCCGGGCGGGGCTAGGTGGACCCGTTGGCTCCGCAGGGGCAAGCGGCCGGAGCTGGGAACACCTCCCAGAGGAGGCCAGGGCCGGCCCAGGACAGGCGAACCTGCCCAGTAAGTTGCTGCGCAGTCTTTCCAGCTGATGTCAAGGTGTCAAGTTCTCGGGTCTGCCGTGAATTTGTTTAAATACAGGTATTGAAACGGGCTGCAGGGCATCGATTTAAGGGGAAAGCCCTACAAAATAAGATGGGAACTATTCTGATCAGGCAAAACCTGTGTCTGCTGGCTGGGAGCAACGTAAGGAAGCGAGACGAGGTCTGGGCCTCCAGCGCGGCGGAAAGGGGAGAGGCTTGTGGGCCCGGTCTCTCGCCCTGGGGGCCCCCAGTCGCGGCTCTCCTCTGCCAGCTTGTGCAGGCGGCGCTGGGCTGAGGGAACCGCATCCTAGCCTGTGGAGCCAGCTTTTTTCTTTTTAATGTCATTGCTTATCTCTCAATTTTTAACCGCAGGGGGTTGCTGTTGTTCAGTACTGTCCCACTCTTTGTGAGCCTGTGGACTGCAGCAAGCCAGGCTTCCGTGTCCTTCACCATCTCCCTGAGCTTGCTCAAACTCATGTCCATTGGGTCGGTGAGGTCGGTACTTGTTTAATTTCTTTTTTAAAATATTAGATATAACTACTTCTCTATGCGCGCCCTGAGAGCCCTGGACATAGGCAGCCAGCCCGCACCATCCTTATCTCCCTGCGCTTTGCCACCTCGGAGGCGCCCGGGGTTTCTCACTTTTCTGTCCTGGTTGAAATTTCTCACTCAGCATGCGTCGTGTATAGGATATACTTGGAAAACAAATCTGCCAATTTGCCTTGGGAAGGGATCGCTACGGGAAGGCAGGCGTCATTAGTTTAAGATAGTAACGACCCCTTGACCCTCAGCTCTCTGGCTCCCGGACCCCACACCCTCTGCCGGCAAGAGATGTGTGCGGCTTTGGGAAGCTTTGGGCTCTGCGAACTACAGCTTGTTCCATAATGAGCCTGGAAATCAAGCCTGAGATCCCCACCCCACTGGTGAGAGCGTGGGCTCGCCCAGGGCGGGGAGCAGGGTTCTGCTGCATCTTCAGGAGACTGGCTCTCCATTCTTAAACGCTGTCCCCACCCTGCCTTTCGGTATCTGCTTGGTGGGTTTCCCAGCTCTGTGCTTAGGGAATGTATGACCTTGACCATTGCCTTAACCTCTGGTCCTCAGCTTCCTGATTTGCAAATTAAGATGGATTAGATCAGCAAACTCCACTAAGCATTTAGCCTGTAGTCCTGGCTCTCGGTAAAGCCAGAGCCAGCCAGTCATTGTTATCCCTTTGTGAGAGGCCTTGGAGTCACTCTGCTGGCCCCCAAAGGATGACAAAGAGAGGAAGGCATCATAGAAAAACCTCGCGGGATAATAGGAGAAAAAGAGTTTTTTTTCTCTCTAATGTTACTGTTAGCATAATGTAATAGAAAAAAAGGCTGGTTTCCCAGGTGGTGCAGTCATAAAGAATCCACCTGCCAATATAGGAGATGCAAGAGACATGGGTTCGATCCCTGGGTGGTGTCCCCTGGAGTAGGGAATGGCAACCCGCTCCAGTATTCTTGCTTTGAGGATTCGAGGGACAGAGGAGCCAGTCCATGGGGTCACAAAGAGTCGGAGACAGCTGAGCCACTGAGCACACACACAGTGTTACCGTGGGCGAGTGTAAGGTGAAAAAGGCCCAGAGGTGTGCAGGACCCCCAGGAGGCAGTGGACACTGACGAATGGCAAGAATGTGGGCGAGCTCCAGGTAGAAGGGTCTCCCTGGTTGTGTGAGCCAGGCCACCTGCTGCGGCTAGCCTGGTAGGAAAGGGTTGTCTGAATTAAGAACTGGTCTGGTGGCCTGGCGCAGCCTCTGGGTNGCAAGAATGTGGGCGAGCTCCAGGTAGAAGGGTCTCCCTGGTTGTGTGAGCCAGGCCACCTGCTGCGGCTAGCCTGGTAGGAAAGGGTTGTCTGAATTAAGAACTGGTCTGGTGGCCTGGCGCAGCCTCTGGGTGCCCTTCCAGGAGAGGGGGACAGAGAGTGCTGAAGGCGTGAAGCAGGGTTGTAGGCACAGGAGGCAGAGTGCGGGCGCTGAGCTGAACACATCCGCCTCCCGCAGCCCTCGGCATGGACCTTATAGCAGAGAGATTCAAGTCTGAGGGCCCACAGCCCAGCTCTGAGGCAGCATTTCCCCCTTTCCTTACAGAGCTCAGCCCATACACCCTGGCATCCCTGTATCACAAGCGGTGTCCAGCTCGGCTCTCAGCACTTAGAATCTCCTGGCATCGTCCCCTCTCCCCAGAGGTGGTGGGGTGAGCCTGAGGGGCAGACGGCACCACACGCACTGGCAGAGCTGCTTGGTCCTTGGCTTGACAGCAGATGGCCCCCAGCCTGGCCTGGGGACTCTTCCAGCCTAAGAGGTTAGGATATGCCAGGAGCAGTGTTTTGTCTTCCACAAAGAGCTCTGGGGCCAGGCGACCAGGCCGGTACTTTCCAGGCAAAATCCAGAAAAAACCCCATATTCCATAGGAATGCAAAAGCTCTGATGCCCTCCTGCTTTCCTCCCTTTTAGAGAATTGAGTGGAGCTGGACGTAAAGGAGCTGCAGTCAGCCCCTGCGGACTGGCACTGGAGGACCAGGACTCCGAGCAAGTATTTTTGTTATTCTTATTTTACTGAAGGAAAAAAAAAAAAAGGGGGGCATACAGCCAGAAACTCCCACAGTGAGCAGGTTTTTAGCTTGATTTCACTGAGCCTCAATTTTCTCGTCTGTAAAATCTCTACAGCAGCATTCGTTGGTCAGGGCTAGGGCAAAATTCGTTAAATGCTGAAAAAAACTGCCAAATGGGGGAGCAGGGTTTCCTGACCATGTGAATTTATGGGGCCCGGTCACCTCTTTGTGGTCCAGGCTCTGCTCTCCGTCCAGCAGAACAGCAGTGAGGCCAGGCCATGGCACCCACGCTGCACTTCCGTCTGGTGTATCTGAGTACTGCTGGTCTGGGGAATTCTGAGAACCTTGACAAGGGTTTTGCTTCTGGGTTCTTCCATCTATAAAATGGGCTGCACGCAGCGTTATTCTAAGAAGGATGAGCTCAGGTGCCCTGCAATCTCACAGGAATCAGGTGCTTTTACTCTCCATTTAATGCCCCCTACCTGAAACAGTGCCAGGCACAGTAGAGTTTAAGGAGGTGAGGTTGGAACCTCTGGGCCCGTGTCCTCAGTCTCCGCAGAATCGAACCTCAGTTCTCCCAGCACTGGCTGTTTGTTCCCAGACAAGTCACTAAACCTCTCCAGGCCTCAGTTGCTAACCTTTAAAACAGAACTTCCCCTTTGCGAGTTACTGAAGATGACATGAGCAACCCCAGAAAGTACCTAACAAGGGATCCAGCACGGGAGAGCCTTTATTTATATCAATATCAATGTGCTCAGTGAATACCTATCCCTACAACTCAAGGTCGGCTGCCTCTGCCCTCCAAAATTGTTTCTGAAGGATGGCAAGCTGAAAGAAGCACACGGCCGGATCAGCGCACTCTCTTTAATGGAAAGGAGATTCTCATTTCTTACAGAAACAGGTAAAAACATAAATACGGGTGGGGGTGGGGGGGCAGCCGCAGGGCAGCAAGGGCCCGGGCGCCCGGCCCAGGCTTGGGGAAAGGCAGCAGTTAGGAGGCTGCTGCGCCCGGGCTCCCAGTCCCAATGGGCAGGTGTTCGGCCCGTTAGGGATGCTCCTGGGCGCTCGGAGGGCACTCCTGGGGCCACAGCTAGGCACCAGGCTGCCGTTTCACTCACCACAAGCTGCGTAAACCTGGCCGCAAACTCTCCCTCTCGGGGAACAAAGGCGCACGGGGCGGGAAAAGCTCCGAAGCCTCCGTGGGAGCGCATGCGGCATCCGAGGGATCGCAGGATCGTGTCGGGAGCCCTCCCTCTCCCCTGTTTAGTCAGTGTCCCTCTTGAGAGGTGGGATCGGTCGGAGGCCTCCCAGACCGGTCCCTTCTCTACCAGGCTCGGATGCCGTGCAGCGTGGACACTCCCGAGTTACCCTGCGGAATCCCGGGGCTCTGCACCGCGTTCAAGTCCCCGACGCCGAAGTTCACGAAGTTGTTGTTAGCGGCGGCCGTGGCCGACTGCGTCGGAGGCGGCCCGGCCGGGTAAGCAGCGGTGCAGCTGTAGCCGGGGCTGCAAGCCGCGCCCCCGTACCCGGGGTAGGCAGGGTAGGCGTTGTAGCCGTAGGCGTTGAGGCCCACGCCGTAGGCCGGCGCGTAGGGCGCCGAGTCCCCCAGGCAAGGCTTGCCATCGCGCACCAACACTGGCACCGCGATCCTGCGGGCCGGCGGCGGCGGCGGCGGCGGCGGGGGCAGCCCCACCAGCTCCAGAGTCTGGTCTTGCCGTTGCCGCTTGCACTTGTAGCGCCGGTTCTGGAACCAGATCTTGACCTGCGTGGACGTGAGCTTCAGCACGCTGGCCAGCTGGTCGCGCTCGGGAGCCGACAGGTACCGCTGCTGCTTGAAGCGCCGCTCCAGCTCGTAGACCTGCGCCTGCGAGAAGAGCACGCGCGGCTTCCTCCGCCTTCGCGCGCGGGGTCGCTCGGCGCTGTCGGACTCTGGCTTCTCCAGTTCCACCGCCTTCTGCAGCGCGCACAGCTCTGAGCGGGGAACAGAAAAACAGAGAGACGCTGTGTCACGGCCACCCAACCCCCCAGAGCTCTCGCCGGGTGATGGGCCCCCGTGGGTGCCACCCCTGTCCCGCCTGGAGCCCCGAGCTCGGCTGCGGCAGACTGCACGGTACACTGGGCTTCCGCTCGACAGCCAGCTTTTGTTGATCGCCTACTGTGTGCCGGGCATGGCCGTGGGCACTGGAGAACAAGAGAGGTCTCTGTCCTCGGGTAGGTCACATTCTGGTGAGACAGATGGACAGTGACTTAAGACAGGCGGCAAAGAGAATAAAGCTCAGGGATGCGCTGGAGTGAATGAGACTAGGAATACTTTGGTTTGCGAAGTTAAAGGAAGGAGACCTCGGCCTTAATCCAGGGTTGGTCACACTGTCTCAAAATTAGGGCAAGCGAAGAAACAGAACGTCAACAAGCAGTTGGTTCGGTGATCTATCGAAGGCTCCCGTTCAAATGCTGCGAGAATTGTGCAGCGCCCGAAAAGCAGTGGGTGGGCAGACGGCCTCGGAACCTGCCTTGCAATCGAATTGGATTCGAATCCGTGTGGACCAATTCAAGATGCAGTGCCCCCCGGCAGCTGTTCTGGGACTTTCCCTCTGCTACTAGACAAATCTTTCTAGGCTCACAAGACCCTTTCTGGGCTCATAGCGGCCCTACACCAGCGCCCCCGGCCTCCCCGGGTTCTTGCCGTCCCCGCGTTGGGCTACGGTCTTCCCGCCGCGCATTTTCTACCTCCCGGCCAGCCTCCCCTCGGGCCTCGGGTGTGCGCGGGGATACGGCCACCTCCCCCCAGTCATCTCTTCCATTGCTCCACGCCTTTCGTCGCGAGACATTTTCTAACTATTTCCAGGAAAGAATCTCTATGCTCTGGCCGCCTGAGAAAATTGTTATGGAAAAAGAAAGCTGCTAAAATCATTCTTGAGTCCGACGTATCCCATTTTTAAAGAATTCAAGATCCTTGTTTTCAATGACGCCACTCTTCTGGCACAAAGGAGGAAAGACCCCCAGAAACCCCGGGTAAACGGGTGGGCTAGAGAAGGTCTTGGACCTCCTCCAATTGCGCGTAAAAGTACTTCTGGCGTGCAGCAATTTAATTGCAGCGGTTTTGGTCGGATCCTCAAGAAGACCTTTAAAAAATATAGGGAGAGAATCTTTCTCGCTGTGTCCACCACAAACAGATCGCTCAACTTCAACTTCATAACAGATCCAGAAGCAGAGCTGCTGCGCCTGGGGCTTTGTTAGGCCAGAAAAAAATATATATATAATTTTTTTCCTTTATTTCCTCTCCTGTTTCTGATAACCACGATCCAGCATTTCCTCTAAACCTCCGACTGGACTCCCGGGGGCCCTGGGAGTCCTCACTTCTTACATTCGGAGGCCCCTTTGCTCCACCATCCGCCCAGGCACTCGCCTCTTCTGTACTCACGCCAGTTTCTCGGCCGCGAGGTCTGGGGACGAAAGCTATCCTAGAGAGGAGAAGGAGCTTGGGTTTCCTCCTCACCTTTCTTATCAGCTCGATGGTCCTTGGCAGGGTCGGGGTCGCCATAGGCACGCGGATAGAAGGCGGGGGCGGCTGAGAAGGCAGGCGCGCACTTGGCGGGCGAGGGCGCGGGGCCCAGCTCGGCGCGCAGCTCGGGGAAGCCGGGCGCCGCGGCCTCCGGCCCCGCGTAGGCCTCGGGCTTGAAGGCGGCCAGCATGCAGGAGGCGGGCGCCAGAGTGGCCTCCAGGCGCGCCGAGAGCTCCCCGGCGGCCAGGCTGCGCTGCTGCTGCTCCAGGTTCAGGATGTCTTTGACCGAGAACGGCGTGGGCGTGAGCGCGGGGCTGGGGAACATGGTGGCAGCGTGCGAATCACAGCGCCAGGCGGGCGGCAGAGCGCAGCGCTGCCCACGGCCCCTGGCAGCCTTCCTGCATGGTGCCCGCCGCGCGCCCGCGCGCCCGCCTTCCAGCTCGGGATGTGGCCAGGCGGCAGGTAGTGCGGGGCGCAAGGGGCAGGAGAGGCGGGACCAGGCCGGAGGAGGGGGACTCAGCCTGCCATTGGGCCGGGGGCCTCGTTGACAGGAGCGATGAGCACTTTTGAGTCACCTAATATAGTCATACGGCTCAAAAAAAAAAAAAAAAAAAAATCCCGCTGAGCTTTTTAAAGGGGCCGCAACGCGTTTGGAAGACTCCTTTTGCTCCTGCAGCCTAAGATTCGTCCTTAGCGTTAGCCAGAAAATCCTACCAGGATGCATGCATAGGAAAGAACGCGATTATTCTCCGAATCCGACCTTTAGGCCGGGTTGGGTGGATCTGGGATTTGAGGAAATGTTCCTCAGCACCTGAAACGGAATAGGGATTGGGTGGGTGGGGCTTCGGGGATGGAGTTATTTCTAGGAGCCAGAAGTGTTTTATTACCTATGGTACAGGTAGAAGGGTCTGAATAAGGAGAGAGGCATTGGGGAAAGAGTTTGCTCTGGGGTGATGGCCGGAGGGAGGCGTTCTGGACAATTTGGGATTCTGTGTAGCTTGACTTACAGGCCTAGTGGTGGCCTTTCCCCAAGAGGCCAGGCCCTGGGCACTCCTGGAGTGAGTCGAGCTGAAAAGCGCGGTGGGTGGTTGTGTGATGGGGGAGCACCGCTGACAGTAGTGCAAGTGGCACAAACACAACTCCAGGGGGCGCAGGTCATTGCCAGTCTCCTCCCGGAGAGAAGACCCTCCTCTAAATAATGAGACAAATCCAGAATCCTAGCAGGTCAACTCAGCTTCCCGGAATAGAGCTGTCTTCTAGGGAGTCCTGGCTCAGGGCCCGTCGTCCGTTCTGGCCTCCCTCTCCCCACCTGCCCTCCCTGTCTAGGCCTTTGTCTGCATGGCCTCTGTCCCCAGCTCAGGTTTAGGTCTCAGGAAGGCGGGGCTCCTCCGAACCCAGCGCGCCCAAGATTTCTCTGGGCCGGCTCCGAGTGGGGCGCCCCTGCGGCGGCGGCGGAGGCGGCAGGGGGGCCAGGCAAATGCGACGAGGGCTTGAGGGGGTGTTAATTTTTAGCCCAGGGTCAGTAAAGTAGGGATCTTCTGTCAGACCAGTCTTTGAGTGTTTCAGAACAATCTACCCGCTCAGATCTTCGGCTGGCTCTGTGCCTCATCCGCCTCATCCGCCTCATCCGCCTCATCCCTCTGGGTCCCTTGGAAGATCTGTTTAAAACTTGTAGGGCTTTCCCCTCACCCCCAGAAAACTGCAGAGAGGCATTCTATTTTGTGCACAATTTCAGGAAGGGTCCGGGCAGACAGGATGGTCCCAGGTTAAGGCCTCCGCCTTATCCTATCTCTAGCGATGGCGAGGCTTGTCAGGGGGAAGGCATTGATTTCCCACGACTCAGGCTTCTGTGGGAAGTCGGGGGAGCGCGCGGACTCTCTGAGAACGGAGGCTTGTAGGGCTCGGCTCCTGGCGCAGGACAAGTTGGGAACTGGGGAAGAAGCGTTTGGGCCAGAAGAAAGGCGCTCAGGGCGAAAGGCAACCTAAGGCCAGGGCTCAGGGCCTTAGGCTCCGCACTGCGCGCTCAAGGCGCCCTCAAGCCTGACGGCGAACCTTTGCGCAGGGCCATTGGGCAGGGCACGAGAGGAGCCAAGCGTAGGCCCAACACTGGGACTCTGCCAGGCCCTCATCGAATCCGCACTCCCGGGACCTGTGGCCCCCGGGCTAGCGCAAAGGCGAGCGGAGCCTGGCGCAGCGGTCGCGGAATCTCGGAACCCTCCGACTCGGCTTGCAGGCGCCAGCTGCCGGTGCCAGGCCCCCACCCCCGCGGGGGAGTCCCGCTTCAAGGCTTCAGCCGGGGACCCACGGTCGGTTCTGAGAGGGTTAGCTTGGTCTTTCGTAGAGATGATTTTTTTCAAATGTGGAGAATCCCCAAGCCCCAGGAACCCTCCTCATCCGCCCACCTCACAACCCGTGTTCTCCCTCGACGGATCTACAGATCGGTGGCCTCTCTTCGGCCCTACCTCGAAACGGGCTTTCCGCCAACAGTACCATAATTGCCCTCAACCAGCCCAGCTTGGGGGCCCACTTCTCCTTTCAAGAATGTTTTTGGGGAGTGGGAGAGGATGCCTATCGCCGAGGCGGTGACGTCTGGCAAACGAGGCACATCCGATTCAATTAAACGTCTCGCTGAAAAGAGCTGGGAGCGAGGGTCCTGGGAGCGCTGTTAAGTGAATGGGCTGGCCAGGCGGCTGGCGATGACAGTTTGAAAGATTAGTGTGAGCCGACGCCTGAAATATTACCGTTTAATGGGGGACATTGAGGCTGCATCCGGGATCTCTGTTTTTAGTTTGTGTGTGTGTGTGTGTGTGTGTGTGTGTGTGTGTGTGTGTGTGTTAAGAGAGAGTTCTGGAGGAAGAGAAAAATTCAGCATGTCCTCTGCAAATCAAGGCGGTGAAGATTTATCACCTATTTTGGGGCATGGAGGGGGTCCCTAAAGCTGACAGATAGTTTTGTGGGTCAGGTGTCATGAAAAGGAGAGGAAAGAAAACCTTCCATATTTGAACAAAATCAATAACTTTCAACTCCTTACACCCTCTGTGAATCTGGTAATAATTTATCTTGGGTATAAAATAGGCCTTAGCGCTGCCAATGAGAAGAAAATAGGGCAAAACTGGATAAATACGTGCAAAATCCAAATTGAGGTGACCCATGTTGGTCTCTGCAGGCAAAGAATAATTCCTAAGAGTAATTGAAGAGTAATTCCTAACTTTTCTCTGCAGTCCTCATAGTTTCTGAGTAAAAACAATTTTGTTTTCTTTCAGTGAAGCTGCAGTGGTTGGGAGAGAGGGGGTTGGAGTGGAGGAGGGGGGGGAGAGGGAGGAAACTTGATTCTCCCCACCAGGGATGCATCTTCTTTCCCAAGGGCGACTGACCCAACCTGGCCACCTCTCTAAGCCACACTTTGGCCAAACTAGCAGGACAAACAAACAGCCTTCAGTCCAGAGAAAGGCAGAGACAGAGAGAAAGACAAAAGGGGGCAGAGAGGAGAGATCGAAAATCTATCCATTTCCTTGCCTTTTAAAGAGTCGGTGCTTTAAGATGAGCCAAATTCCAAGGTGACTGGAGCGCGTTCTGCGCACATAAAATATTATTAATTGAAAAGCGATCGGAGCGGCCTGAGCCGGCCCCCGCTTTCCTGCAATCAGCACGGCCGGCCGCAAAAGGTATATATGATTAATTGAAAGATAAGCTGGAACTATCACCGGGAATGTCATTAATGCGCCAGGGAGACGTCCATTGGAGACAGGCGGCGTTATCCTCGGCTTTATCTTCAACAACGCCTCGCTCTCGGCCCGCGCCGGGGAAACAGATGGGGATTTCTGTCTGGGACGCTCGCCCCGTGTTTATATTTTGGAAAGAATCGCAACTCGTGGGAGTCCCCGGCAGGCCCCCTGATAAATGAACATTAGCACTTTTTCGGACTACTGTATCAACAAAGGGGCTGCGGCGCGGCAATAATTGGCGAGAAAGCAAACAGAGGGCCGAGCGCGCCTCTGCTCTTCGTCCGGCTGATGGATGAGCAGCGGCGCTGCGGCCGGCTCCCGGCCCTGGCCCCGGCTCTCTGGCTCCCCGGCCGCGGGGCCCCTCAGCCGTCCTGGCTTCCTTCCGGGCCGGGGCTTGAGACCTGGGGGCGTCTCTGGGGGCTGCCGCCCTCGCCTGGGCTCCGGAAGAGTCTGGGCGGGCTCCGCGGCGCTGGCTTTTGCCTGCCCCGGGACTTGCCTTGTTCCAGGGGCTCAGCTGGTTCCAGTGTCTTGTGCTCTCACTGGAGGAGCCATTTGTCCTCTAACGTCATCGCGGATCAGCTTATCTCCATCGCTCCCGAGAGGAGAAAGACGCTCAGAGAGGTGAAGTGACTTGTTCAGGGTCACACAGAGGGAAAGGGACAGTTTCAGTATTCGAACACAGGATTAACTACAGACCTGTGAATCCTTATGGCAGAAAGCGAAGAACTAAAGAGCCTCTTGATGAAAGTGAAAGAAGAGAGTGAAAAAGTTGGATTAAAGCTCAACATTCAGAAAACTAAGATCATGGCATCAGTCCCATCACTTCATGGCAAACAGATGGGGAAACAATGGAAACAGTGGCTGACTTTATTTTTCTGGGCTCCAAAATCACTGCAGAGGGTCACTGCAGCCATGAAATCAAAAGACGCTTACTCCTTTGAAGGAAAGGTATGACCAACCTAGACAGCGTATTAAAAAGCAGAGACATTACTTTGCCAACAAAGGTCCGTCTAGTCAAGGCTATGGTTTTTCCAGTGGTCATGTATGGATGTGAGAGTTGGACTATAAAGAAAGCTGAGCTTCGAAGAATTGATGCTTTTGAACTGTGGTGTTGGAGAAGATTCTTGAGAGTCCCTTGGAATTGCAAGGAGATCCAACCAGTCCATCCTAAAGGAAATCAGTCCTGAATAGTCATTGGAAGGACTGATGCTGAAGAAAAAAACTCCAATACTTTGGCCACCTGATGTGAAGAGCTGACTCATTTGAAAAGACCCTGATGCTGGGAAAGATTGAAGGCAGAAAGATAAGGGGACAACAGAGGATGAGATGGTTGGATGGCATCACTGACTCAATGGACTTGAGTTTGAGTAAACTCAGGGAGTTGGTGATGGACAGGGAGGCCTGGCATGCTTTAGTCCATGGGGTCGCAAAGAGTTGGACACGACTGAGCGACTGAACTGAACTGTGAATTATTATTGTTTTTTTAAGTACATGTCGCTGCTTCCTAGAACCCTATCATCTGGAGAGGAAGTACAACACTACTCCCTTCCCCAGTACACACCCCACGTAGCTAGAGAGGAGGGCCAGGCTGCTGGAGTGGGGGTGCTGGCTTCGCCAAAACCAAGGGGTGTTCTGACATATAGTTCCTCTGACTGAGGGAGAGAGGGGAGGGAGACATTTAAAATTCCTCCTCCCCCTCTTCTTCCATTTCCTCTACA